AATATATTTGCATGAACGGGCGTGGAGCTAACAAGAAAACCCTTACATCACGTCTGTTTCCTTTAAACTGAATGGGGAACTGCTCGCTATTCTGATTACTCAATCGAGGCCTTCACACCTAGAATGACATAGTTTCCTGTCATCATCTTACCTGACATTCTCTTCTCTACTGTCCATTGCTCTGTATAATACAATACAATGCTCAGGCATGACTCCGGTAGCTGTGTATTTTCATTTAGTCTACTTAAGACTATTCACATGTGCATTGCTATTGAGTGGTTAATAATCTTCCTTATCGTGTAATTTTAACTGATACAAACTGCTGCATCTGACAGAACGTAGGCTACTCTGAGTCTTAACAGCATGCAGATGTTTCAAAATACAATATTATTATATTAGATATTTTATATCTTGTGTACATGAGGGTTTGCTTTGTGGTTTGGAATCTCTCGCCTCATGATAGTTCACTGGCCACTCGGAAGCCAGGAAATCCTATACTAATCCTATAAAAATGTAGGGAATCCAACTAGGCAGATTCAATGCATACTTATTACTGCTTTTAAAGTGCATGTGTAAACATTCAGATGTTTAAACATGTAAATATCAAAACATGTAACCAACAAATGGGTACATAACTAGCTCTATACCCCTCATAAACACCTCTGTGTACATCAAATGACATAAGTCTACTTCTACACTTTACACTTGTTTTTGTCAACAAATCCAATGAAAGGAGCAAAAATAAGTAACATCTATAAATAGTTTCTCAAATAAAGCTACAAAAAATAATTAAAAAAATTAAAAGCCCCCCCCCCCTTATACAGAATATTCATGTTATATGGTCCTTAACCATAAATAAACTAGCATATTAGTCTGAATACAACATCACCCAGAAAATAGATCAAATATCATTAATGAAACTATAATGGTTGTTTGACAGATATCCTCGCTTCTGCAGTAAAGACATCTAAGATCTAATTTGGCCTCCAGTAACACTGTGAGGAACCTTGGAGTAATTTTTGACCAGGTTATGTCCTTCAATGCACATATTAAACAAATATGTAGGATTGCTTTTTTTTTTTTTCATTTTCAGGATGTTTCTAAAATTAGAAATATCCTGACTTAGAGTGACATTGAAAAACTAGTTCATGTATTTATTACTTCTAGGCCAAACTACTGTAATTCATTATTATCAGGATGTCCTAAAACTCCCCCAAAAGCCTTCAGTTAATCCGAAATGCTGCAGCAAGAGTACTGACAGGGACTAGAAAGAGAGAGCATATTTCTCCTGTATTGGCTTCATTGGCTTCCTGTTAAATTCAGAATTGAATTCAAAATCCTGCTCCTCACATACAAGGTCTTAAATAATCAGTAATAATAAGTCTTATCTTAATGACCTTGTAGTGCCATATCACCCTATTAGAGCACTTCGCTCTCGCACTGCAGGCCTACTTGTTGTTCCTAGAGTATTTAAAAGTAGAATGGGAGCCAAAGTCTTCAGTTTTCAGGCCCCTCTTCTGTGGAACCAGCTTCCAGTTTGGATTCGGGAGACAGACACTATCTCTACTTTTAAGATTAGGCTTAAAACTTTCCTATTTGCTAAAGCATACAGTTAGGGCTGGACCAGGTGATCCAGAATCCTCCCTTAGTTATGCTGCAATTTTCATTTTCAGTTCATAGATTGAAAAGATTTCCTGATATTCTGAACATTTCCTATCCCATCAAAAAGAAAATTCCCAGCACTTTTTAACTTAATTTCCAGAAAAAATACACTCTTAAAGTACTGTGCAAAAGGCTTAAGCCACTCATTATGTCTTTACATTTAGCTTCAAAGAGGCCAGCTTTCTTGTAGTTTTGGTCTTGAGCAATAGTTTGAGAACTGTCAAGAAGATCTTTTAACATTTGTCTTTGATATTGGCTGTCCTTATAGCTGACTCTTATCAGAAGAAATTTCTTGTTTGTTAAGCCACTTCACACTGACCTATGAATCATTTGAGCCTAAAAAAGATTCCTAACTCTGGAAGAACCAGTATTGTGTCTTAACATGCAGTATATCTCAGAAAAGTGAGTACACCCCTCAAATTTTTGTAAATATTTTTTAATTTTAATATATCTTTTCATGGGACAACAATGAAGATGTGACACTTTGATACAATGTAAAGTAGTCAGTGTACAGCTTGAATAACAGTGTAAATTTGCTGTCACCTCAAAATAACTCAACACACAGCCATTAAAGTCTAAACTGCAGGCAACAAAAGTGAGTACAAAGTGATAATGTCTAAATTGTGCCCTATTAGCCATTTTCCATTCTGTTGTCATGTGACTTGTTAGTGTTACAAGGTCTCAGGTGCAAATGTGGAGAAGAAGTGTTGAATTTGGTGTAATTTCTGCTACTGTAACAGAAACTTGGCATATCTTAGCATGGTGTGCAGTGCAGCCTTAAAAATTTGAAGAAACTGGACAAATTGAATTTGTTATTTGTTATTTTGTTTATTTATTTATTTCAAACATGTAAACAATATGCAGGTACATTTAGAAAATAAGAGAGAAAATAAATACTATACAAAAGTCAATACATTTCAATATTGCTACCGTTTTGATTCATTTACATGTTGAAAGGGACAAAGGAACAGACCAAGGAAGTGGTCGTAGGCTTACTAAGCTAGCTACAGCAGGTGAACACTATCTGCAAGTCATGTCCTTAAGACTGACCCTTTAGTTAATTCATTTAATGTTCACTGAAATCTCATCAGAATGGTCTTAGCGAAAGGGGCGCTGTCAAGAAGCCATTTGTAAAGAAAGGAAACAGGGAGAAAGGCCTAGGAATGGCAAATTAGACTAAGGAGTGGACTGAAAGTCAGTGGCAGAGTTCAGGGTGAAGAATAAAGGTTTAATACTAAATATTGACTTTGAATCACATTAGAATTCCACTCATTTTTTGCCTAATGTTCTGTATTTCCATGTATGCTTGGACATCTTTCAGTAGCACCACAGTAAATGTCATGCACATCCACAATTAAAAGTTAAAAAGAAACTAAATAGAAAACATTTGCTATGAAAAACAATGAGTGCTGTTTAAATGATAGAGGGATCCAAGTACTTACAACTTATTGCAGGATGATGATATTTGAGTTCCTGCAGGCTTTATTTGTGCCTCAGCAGGCCTCCGTAGCAATACACACCCTCAAAAGTTTTAGAGTTTCCAATAAAACCTGAGATACAACCAATCCAGAAGCAACTTCAATCTGTGCAATGCGTTGCTTTGGTTTCTGTCCTGAAGAACCAGTTTCATTGAAACGATGTGCAAAAACGGGAAACGGGCTTTGAGGTGCGTGTTTGGCAGATGTGTCACAGAGGTGTTACCCAGTCAGCAACAACAGGCACATATATTCCACCATAATACAAAGGCCATGCACGCAATGGATCAACTCTCAACTGTTGTGAATCCCAACACATGGGTGATATCACAGCATTACCAGGACTGTTTCTGTCAGTGCCATCACTGATGATGACCCTAACCCTGACTCTGATCCCACAGTCTATCCTCTCACTTTCATTAGTAACTTTAACCCAGAACTTTAGATGGAGGAGAATAAATTAGAAGTATAATAGACCCTAAAATTTGATTAAACATGTTAAAATAAAAACAGACCATAAAACAGAATAAAATAAAGGCAAAGAGAGGATAACTGCATGATGACACGAGCTAGCCAGTGTCTTAACTTTGGAACACTGAAATCATCCACCTAGTAGTTGGAGCTCCCCCTGCTTTAATAATCTGGGAATTTAGTGCAAGGTGAGAAAATAAATTAACTCTGACTGTTATGAGTTTTAAAAAAAAGTAATTTAAAAAAGAAAAATCAAGAAAAAGAAAACACTCTGATTTGGGAGGAAGTTGTAACCAATGATGACGTGGACCTCATGGGGCTGAAAGCCATTTGAACTGATTATTAAAACAAGGTATGTTTACTGGAACTCCAAATGGGGCAATGTGCAAATGAAATCCACAGCAAGCATGCTATTTCCTCCTGTCTGATTTTTTTTTATGTGGAGATATTTTAATCTTGTAAAATTCACCCAGTCACCAGCTGCCTAACCCAACCCTACCATGGAGGATGAGGGGTCAGTATTATCTCAGCCACACTCTGAGCATCCCAGCACATGTTTCCTTGCAGATCAGGACTCATTCAGCTTTTGACCTTACATTTAACTGTGCTAGTGAGCATATACAAAATAAGTTGTTAGCTCCAAACAGTTTATCAGGTCAGATGAATATTACGGAAGAACAACCCTTGTCCTAAATATAAACCACTTAGAATGATTACTTTCTTTGGGCCCTGACTGCCAAGATTTGAAGAAAGGTTTTAAAAAAAGTCTGACTCTTCAAATGTGATGACCTCACAGGCTTTTATTAGATCAAACTATGAATCTGTACCCAACACTAATAGATCGATAGATAGGTTTATCAGCACGACGTGGCACATGTATGGCCCGCGATCAGAAACCGTCAGAGGTGGCTGTGAAATCCCAGATGCAGTGGATTCAATGGAGGTGTAATGATTTCCGTGACGGAATCGCTGGATCTAATGGTTTCTGACGCAGGGTGCCACCTCACTCTTTCACGCAGCGTGCTTTCCAGTCGTTGCTCCTCGAACCTCAGTGCACGCTTTGAGAGGTTAATGCAATTATGAGAGGTCTCATGCAAACTATTAGACCCCTCTGCAACTTCAAGTCTGACCAGCAAAAGCACAAATTTTAATAAAACAAAATTTTGCAGTGAGCAGATGATTTGGGTATGATATGCATGAGTGGGAAGCCGACCCCTCACCCTCTTCTATGAAGTTGTTGATTTAAAGGAAACTGCACACAACCACAATTTCACACCTAGATCATCGCTGCATCTCTCTCTCTCTCTCTCTCTGAGTGCATGTCTATGTCACTCTGCCACTTTGCCTCTCTCTCTCTCGCAGAGTTATAAATAAAAGCTTTCATGACAAGTCAAACAGTTCGCACCAACTTCAGGGTAAGAGAGGCACTGTCAGTCAGATCATCAGTCACTCAGTCAGGTAGGACACTGCTCAGCCAGAATCCGTTCTCAAATTGAAAACACTCGGCCCGGATTGGGAATCAAACCGAAGACTCAACTACACTCAGGGGTAATACAAACAGAGACAGGATGGCTACCACAGTGAGGGCAGCAGTCTGTCTGTGCCTCTGGCTTTTTGCCTGTCAGGTCAGAGGATCCCACATCCCAGCAGAGATGAACAGGACCATCCAGAGCCTCTTGCAGCACTATGTGAGTATTCACTGCACTTCAACTGCTACTTAGTACTTGAGTAATACTAGACTGTGCAGCTCTACAGACTTTCTGTTTCCTCCTGTTTGTCACAGTGATGCTCTTACCACAAACACACACACATGCGCAAAGATGTCTTTTTAAATTTCCACTTAAGTGTGTGGTTAAAGGACCATTTTAACCCACGAGGCGCTAAATACTACACACCCAGCCTGGAGCATCTCACATACAAAACTTTATGTGAATGATATCATGTTTCATGTGGTGATGCAGAGGCGAGCAGGGACACTTCCTGGAATGGTGGATTCAGGGATGAGACAGAGTCACATCACAGATGTGGGAGTGTCCTTGAATGTACCTTCAAATTTTTCTGCAAAGTATGTGCTCATTGACCCCCCCAATTATCATTTTCCCTATTAGCAGCTTGTTTTTGTAATTTGTTTAGTTTTTCATTGCTGGTTGGCAGACGTTCTTAACTTCATGACAGACAGTCCTTGAAGGCACCAGTAATGATAGAAAGCTCTACCAACAGAAACAGCTGTACTCACGCTGTCTTTTATAACTGCTGTTGGATTATTGGCCTTCTCATGTTTATCGCTGTAAGAAAAAAAAAAACCACTTTTAAAATGTTTTTGTCTTTTTCAGACAAATTTCTCAATTTCTTTACAGTCTCCATATTTGACATCAGACACAGTGTGGCCGACAGGCTTTAAACGCACCATTCGTACCACTTTCTGAAATTTTAATCTTCAGTTATCAGTTTCAGATCAAATTTCAATTTAATCATGGATCTTTTAGTCCAATAATTATTATATTTCACCTTTTTCCTACACTTCTCTTATTGGTCTTTAGTCGGTCCTGAATAGAGCAGCTAACCTGCCAGCAACCGGCTAGCAGGCTTCCCTTCAGTGGCTTCCAGTGAAATTCAGAATCAGTTTTAAAATGCTGTTTATTTATATATGAAGCAAAGTAAATGAGCAGTTGCCCTTTCCAGTCAGCCAATTGGGTTTTTTTTTTAACAACAGCTCGGCTGAATCATTGGTTTCTTTAAAAAACTAAAACTGAAAACCTTTTATAAGTTAGTGATTCCTTGCACCTTATTTTCTGCTCCAGTTCAAACCATGTTTGACAATGTTTGTGAGACAGGATAAAACCCAATACCGATACCGATTATTCATTATTAATGTCAAACATGATCTGAAAATATCTTCTTTTTTTTTGTCTTTTGCAGAAAATTTCAAGCCGGGAAAGATATGATGGGAAACCCGTATTTCCTAGTGACCAGAACAAAAAAATTGAGGTAAGATTCATGTGATTAATGGGAACGCGTAGTTTGTCCACAAAATGTAAAATGTCCATGCAATCCAAAGAAAAGGTTTCTTGTGGCAAATGAGAGTTTTGCTCTAACTATGGCCTTACTATAACCTCAAATGGATAGGCAGAATTTAGGAAACACACTTGTGGCTTAAGGTCCACGTGGTAAGCATCAAGGTAGCTTAGCCTAAAGCTCAGTATTAATACTGGAAACCATGCTGTATTCCATCCCTACACAAAGAAATTAGGAACTATTTCTATCCATCCACCCAGTGTCTTCAGCATCATCATCACTAAAGTGGATTTCCAGATGGTGTAAAGATAATAAAACCACCACTTTGAGTTTTGCATGTCTATGAAAGAGTGAAGACACTGATTGGTAATCAGGCATCTTTAAAGCTGTTAGCAGGTGTATTTCTGAACTCTGGAAAGAGTCAGGATACTTGATGGAGGCAAACCTCCTGTTGAGCTCCTCCATCTTTGGCTAACAGGCACTGCCTGAGTCAGCAGCCAGCTGGTATTTCCAGGTTTTGTCTTTCACATTGAGTTGAGGTTTTTGTGGGGTTTTCCTTCACTTTGCTGGCTCTGCAGGATGCCACCTTTCTGCAGCTATTCTCAGTCTCCCGATCAAACTTTCACTTTTCACCAACATCACTTACAAGGCCGTTTCATGGTTGGTTTCAAGTACTGACATCAAGCCAAGAGAGCACAGACTGAGGAGCTCTGGTCGGCAGTTTTTTATATCACTCTGTTTGAAGTTCTGTGTGGTTAGATGGCTATGAGGTTCACGTTAAAGCTTCTGCAAATTTGGTATAAAAAGGAACGTTTTTTGAGGATGTATATCTTCTAACTCATTATTAAAAGTCTCACTAATATTATTGTAAAGTAACTGTACTAAAACTGTAATTAAAGCAGTCAACAGCAACAAGAAAAAGGAAAAAAAATTGAGAAAATTTGAAGCAAAACAATGGAAATTTTATTGCACTGCCTCTTGAGGAACAGTTAAAGATATTGCTAGTAAAAGAAGAAAAGTATCAGCGCCTTTCTAAAACTGAATGTTCAAGTAGATTTTCTGTGGTCACCACCTCCTATAGCCAGCAATATCTTCCAGCACTCAGAAACATTTTGACAGGTTAGTCATAACAGTTGGAAATTTAAAGTCAAGATGAGTTTCTATTATAGCTTAACACATGGTGGTATGCAGGGGGGAGGCTGGCATATAGGAGTTGTATGGAGGGTGGTATTTTGCATGAACTTTATTGCAACCCACCAGGTTTTCCTATTTAGAGGTTTCTTTACCACCACACCTACCCCAGTGCTGCATATATTTTAGAGATATCTAATGACTCATCTGAGCTTTAACACCATTTGCCCCCTCTCATTCGAAGGAAACGTCTTACATCTTTTAGCCTGCTTCTGTCCGGTCAGTTCATTGTGCTTATGCCTCTCTCGGGTTTTAAAGCTCTTTAAAAACACTCTTGATGGTGCCACTGATAGTGTTTTGTCAGGGATCCCACAGCTTTTGTTGCTTCTGACATGAAAGGTTTTTGGTTGTCACCAGAAATTACCACAGATTATTCAACAAGTGTAAGTGAATCGACCAAATTGAAAACAAACACTGGGTCAAACATTGAGCCACAAACTCTCATTTCTTACATCCAAACTAGTAGTTTCAGTCCTGTTAGCAGTGCATGGATATGACATTCAGGTTTAACAGCAGTCAATGAGTGGTATTCCCCTTTAAGGCCTTCTCTGTTAGCTTAACTGTTGTGTGGGAAACCACAGAGTTTTTTCCATTGTGTGAAAAGTTTTTAGCACCTAAGGTTGTAATGTTTGTGAAGCAACCTTTTCCTCACATCTCGGTTTTTCTTTAGGTTTATTTAGTACAAATGCATTCTGCGTTGTTTCAGTTTTTTGGCTTTTGGTACCCGAGTCCAAAATGCTGAGGAATGCTGCGAAATTCAGCATTTTGGGCATTTTCAAAGCCATATTTGCACAACCAGATATATTCATATTAAACAAATATAAGCCATTTGTACTTTCATGTCATTACCTCTCTGTTTCTTGTTCTCAGACAAAGTTGATCTTCATGGGTGGTGTTTTGGAGTCGTACGAAAAGTTGCTTGGCCACATGTTGAAACAACTGCCCACTCCGAGTCCCCAGATCGCCGTGAGCAACGCGCAACCTGGCTCGGCCATCACCCCTGCGTCCAGCAGCCCCAACAACGCAGGCTTGCTAGCGGGCAGAGATGTCAGATCAGAGCTGAATTACATCCTGAAGAAGGTCCAGGAGCTAAAGAAACGCCGCTACCATGAGCAGGAGAAACTTCTGCAGGGATTGCAGACCCTCAGAGATATCAAGGTAGAAAGCATTCTGATTGCTTCTTGGCTGTGAAAGCCTTAACTTGACTTAGGACTTATGTAAACCCAACAGTGAGGTTTCTGTAAAGTCTATGTTGAGGATTGTGCAGTGATTAAGAGGAGCTCACAATAAGCCTCAGGATGGGTTGAGCAGCCCATATGAATGGCTTATGTAAAGCCTGAAAAGTTAGACTTGAAAAGATTTGACCAACCTTATTGAGGGCTTATATAAGTCCTAAATTCACACTTAAGGACAAATGCCTGGGTCCTACAAATGTCTTTGGAAAGCTTACCCTCTGAACATCCAGAGCAAGTCCCTGGCTGCCCATCTGGGATTTTGTTTTAGTGAAAAACAGGCAGATTTTGAGGATTTCAGATCATGTCTCATTCATTTTGGCAATACAGTTTTTGTGTTAAAGACTTTTGCATTTGGTTTAAAACAGACAAAAAGAGAGAACTCATACCCTAACCTTAGATTAGTCGTCAGTGACCTGCAGGATATTATGAGGTTTAATAACGCATCCACAAAGGATTTAAATAGAAACTAGGAAAAGAAAAGGCAGAGAGAAAGTTTAGGGCTTAGGTGAGACTTGAAATAAGGTTTTATTTAGGGCTTAAAATTATGTGTTTTTTGCAAGTCTTAAATTTGTGATGCTTACGATGACGATGTGCCTTAGTTATTCTAAAAGCTCACAAAGGTCTTACATTATTTAAGGGTTTTAAATGTTGATGTCATTGTGCTGAATCTTAACAAAGGTCCTCTCTGTAACTGTATGATTGTCATCATTAATGTCAAACTTGCCTTTGTCTCTCTCTCTCCTGTAGATGAACGACCGCATCGTCCAGAGCAAAGCACTTTGGCAACTGCCACAGCTGTACGAAGAGGCGAGCTCGCTCCCCGAAATCAAGATGCAGAGGAGACGCAGACGGCGGAGGCAAACAAAGGCTAAAGATCGCACCAGAGCCTAAAAGGCGACCTAAAGGGCATAAAGAGAAATAACAGTAAAACAAGGACGCAGGATGTTTAAATTATACAAAACCAAAAGATTCTCAGACTGAAACCAGTGTGTCTAGTTGTTAGGATTTTGTATTCTATTGAAAATTTTCATCTATATTTATATTTAAATTAACAGTGAACCAGCAGCCTAAGCCTTATAAGATCGTAGTCTCGGAAAAATATTTTTATATAATGTTTGGTGTGTGATACTTGAAACCAGCATAAAAGTTTGATCCTGTGGAATATTTTCACTGAAGGATCCAGAGATTATACCTAATTGTTTTCAACATGGAGTTTCACCCAGTGGAAATACTTGATTTAATGTTGTTATTTTTTCTCGGCTTTAAAAACTTCACATTATTAAAAACCCACAAAACAAAGATATGTTTAATTGTGGTTAAAGTTTATTTTTTACTGAATATTTTGTAAATTTAGGTCATTTATTTCTTGTATTTTGTTTTAAGTTAAAAAACCCTGAATTCTTTCTGAGTGAAACTCCCTCTTGTTGCACTGAGATTGGACTGTGGTGGAGAAATGGGCGGTTCCACTGATAATTACTGATAGGTAGTTTTCCAGATTTATCACATTTTGTTGAGGAATTACATTTATGCAAAGTAAATGTGTGAAATCCCATTTACGTGACAAATTTAACAAAGTTTTCACATAATTGTATTCTATAAGTTGATTTTTTTGTCTCAATGGGAACCCTGACCTAGCTTCTCCACTGCAGTGCCAATGAGAGCTGATGGTGATGATGTTTACAGTACAAAGTACTTCAGTGTACTACTATTCCTCTGAACAGTCAGGTTCAGTACTGTAGTATTAAATTTCTTTGTAGTTGAAGTACTAAAACCTTCAGGATGTTTTGTTTTTATTTTTACTGACATATTGTAGTTTTCTTTATTTATTTTGTATTTAAGTTGTTGATTGTTGATTATTTATTATTAATTTATTGATTGGCAAATGCACCTGAATAAAACAGAATGACGCTGATTATGGCTTATGTGCAGTCTCTTATAGATTTAAGATATGGTTGTAAAGATTTTGGACATTTCCCGCACCTAGATGTAAAACATCATGAGGAAGGAAAGTTGTGATGGAGAATTTATAGGAACAAGCTCAGAGAATCATGAGTCATGACTTTTAATCCACTGATTCCTGTTGCTGAACACAAATTTTTACTTTGTTATTATTTTGTCCCTGAACATGACTTTTTATCAGTGGAGAGGAGGCGGAGGAGAGAGTCGCCTCACGCCACAGAGCTAAAGTCATGCATGTCTCACTTTTTTGCACATCATTTGTTTGAAGTGTAAGCACCAAACCAGGTTAGCTCACTGCCCATTTTCTCTGCATATATATATATATATA